GACTTTGTCGGCTATTTGAGAGACGGGGATAAACTTTCGACCCTCCATCTTAGTAGACATTTTCACAGATGAAATCAAAGGATTGATAACATTTAAACCAGAAAACTTATCCCACATCGAATTATCTTTGCCTTTTGAAGATTCTTCTTTGGAAATATCATCTGCTTTTCTCTTTTGTCGTGGATTCTTTGTTATCACAAGTTTCGGCGTTTCTTTGCGCGGTTTTTCTTTGGGATTTTTGTTGATCGAGGTAGCCTCATTTGGAGACGAATGACCTGTGGATTTTGGAGACTCGGAGTTCGATTTCTCCACTTCTTCAACTGCATCAGTTAAAATATCGTTTGAATCGTCGTCTAATAAAGCTGTTAACATTGATAAATCGTCTTCGTTTTCCATTTTAGAGGGTAAATTTAAGACAATTTTAAGTACTGTACCGATATGGAAGGAAATTTTTGCCGCCTTTTCTTGAAATCAGTACCAGGCCTTCTCTGCCACAGGGAACAAGTACACGATGAAACTGGCAATTGTGTTCATTTAAGACTATTTCAGACATCTTTTGTAAATTTTTATCTTCTCCAATCTAAATGAATATGCCCTCTTTTTTTGAATTCAGTATTTGGAATTTTAAAAAATCGGTCTCCAAAGCCGGTCCTCCTGTGGAAAAGATATCGAGAGAGATCTGGCACGACTATTGCATGATCAAAGTCTTTGTTCAACTCGTTCATGGATTGGTCTATATCGCGACGTAATATGACGTAAATGTATGCTTATATAAATTCCAAACGCGGAAATGTTCAGACGTTGCGAAAACTTTTTTGACTTACAATCGAACCAGAATTTTGCGTAACTTTGACTTTTGTGTATATTAATTCAAGTCGAGTACTTTGACAGAGGTTTTAAACGGCTAATTTCATCTTGATTTCCTCAAGTATGTTAAGGCTTAAGTTATTCGGCCTTGACGCACGATCAGCTTGTATTGTCTGTAAAACTAGTTTCGTTTTATTGCAGAAAAGTCTTGTAACTGAGGAGGTTTTACAATAAAACGAAACTAGTGTTACAGACAATACAAGCTGATCGTGCGTCAAGACCGAATAATCTCAAGCCTTAACATACTTGAGGAAATCAAGATGAAATTAATATCAAAGTCTTGCGAGGCCAAAATACTAAATATATCAAAGCGTTTTAAAAGCTTACTTACCTGTAGTCGATGACAGTGTTTTTTGGCAAAACAAACAAAAATTGGCCCAGTGCGAACCGGCCCTTAAGTTAATACATTTGGCTAGTTCGGCCAAGCAGGATCTAGAAAACACTTTGTTGAGATTTAAGCCAAAATGGATGTGAAGCTAAGAAAAATGGAAGGGCTTAGATTGCTCAGTTTATAACTCAAATGGTAAGTAGAGTACTTAAATTGTTAGTCATTGGGAGAAATTCAGTTCGGGGTTCGGGGTGACGGTTTTCCTCTGGGACCTTTTTACATGGCCGCGACAGCGAACATTCCATCTCACTGTGGCAGCTCCAAGGATTTGCCTTAGACGGTCTTTTAAGTGTTTCCGTTTAGCGAAGGTCCAAGTTAATCGAACCGCGCAAGCAAAATCGCTTAAGAAAGTCACACACCAAGCTGGATTCTTTCAGCAAGTAAGCCCTCCTTCGCTACCTACAAACTTAATGATGTTCGTAGAGTATTGACTAAAGGTAAAAAGGCAGAAAAAAACGCGAAAACAACACATTTCTCGACTTCTTGCAGCACAGCTTCGAACCAAAACAAATGTCAAAGTCATGAGTTTAGCGCGAATATGCAAATCTAGGATATTTTACGGAAGTGAAAGGGAAAGAGATTAACCTTTTACATTATACTCATCAATTTTTATGACTGTACAAAGTTTACTTGATGTATACTGACTAATTCAGTTCACTTCATCAGTTTCGAATTCTCTTTTGCATAAACTTTAGCTTCAATCATGCATAAATTTTTGTTGTCTTCAATTATGTACACAGAGTGACTGTATTACAATAAATTCTCTGCTGAATAAAATAATATATCACATGCTTTCGAGGTTAAGGTTGCACATTAAATAAAAAAATCTTGAAACTGGAGTATTCAATTTAAACGTTGGCTTGCGTGTAGACTGAATTTTTAGCATGCTGGATTTTCTCTGGAACACTAGAGGATACCTATTTTCAGAGTTAGAATTCGAGTTAGGAATCGAGTTAGGGAATCGAGTTAGAATCGAGTTAGGGAATCGAGTTAGGGAATCGAGTTAGAATCGAGTTAGGGAATCGAGTTAGGGAATCGAGTTAGGAAATCGAGTTAGGAAATCGATTAGTTCGATTTAAACACAAAATTGAAATACATAAATAATAGCAGAGCTATAATATGCTTGATCTTGTCACCGCATTTCGCATCACGCTAGGCGACACTGCTAGTTTAATAAATGGTCACCGACCAGCCTGTATCATGAAGTAAAAGCCTTTGGAGCCTGTGTAATTTCATCGATAATAATAAGGTCATGAATCCATGGTATTTATTTCGTGGACATTCCGCGATTTTGAAAATGTCAGATTGGCATAATACTAATAAATCCTGCAATGCAAAGTTCCCAGATAATTCT